TGGAAATGCCAACGCAGGTGCTATAAGCAGGCGCTAGGATGGATTTCCTTGCCGTTACCTTCATTCCCTGCTGATCCTGGGATTTTCCTTGGCGTTGACGTGTGAGGTGGCACCGGACGCTCCAGTAAAAAAAAATGTCTCACGTGTGGATATAAGTCATATAACGGGAGTCGGGCGCTACACAGGACGCAAAGGAAGGAACAGAAATCACCAGGTACATACGGATCTTGCGGTGAACTTCGATGGACGCTTCGTTAGCAGCATTGGAGGTTACAGGCGCTTGTATTTTTTTTTAATTTTCCTAAGCGTCCGCAGATTGATACGAGCGTTGGAGGCTGAGACTCTTACGTCGGTGCTAAGTGGTAAATTATTAATTTTTTCTTCTCAAGCGGCTGTACAAGCGCCTTCTCATTGGAAATGCCCTAAGGGTGCATGCTACGAATAATTTCCAGTCTGATCGGCAGTTACGCCCTCAATTCCTAGGGGTCTGGAGCTGCAGCGACGGAAAGAAAGGCATCGAGCGCTTGCCTCTTTTTTTTCCCACGAGATGAGGCGCGAGCATTGTTTTCCATACGTATTTAGCGCCCATGGTTAGCGCCAGCGTTGGAGCAGATAACGTTTGGGGATTTTTAAACCTTTTGCTATTTATTTTTTTCTGTTTAAGCACCTAGATAAGCGCCTACTATTGTACATGCTCTTAGACTAGCCACAGTGGAAGTAACTTTAACAGTAACATCGAGTCCAACTCAGCAAATTTGCTTATGTGGCAATGAGTTAATAAGAAAAGAGGTAGTTATAGTAACTTAGCTAGTTACTGTAACATCACATGTCCCAATGCAATATGAGTCTATAACCTAATAAATGAATCTTTGCATGTTACCATCCTTAAGTTACTACGCACTAGGGAGATAGTAACATAGTCTAAGGATATGTGTATGTTACTAGTGTATGTTACTATTCATTGTGGTTAGTTTTACTACGTTCGATGTGATATTGGTTGTCAAAAAAACTTAGGAGTGGACCACCCTGTTCTCAGATGCTAGCTCCGCCACTGGCTCGCTTGGTCAAGTTTGGTCGGGTCTACATATGAAAGTTTATCCGGATGAGTGCATGGTTGCAGATAAAAACAACCTGCAATTCGTCGCCATCCTCGCGAAAGGATCGGAACTCCTTCCTCCATGCGCGAAGGACGCATTCTCGGGCTGAAAGTTCTCTCTCTCTGTCTCTGGAATTCGTCTACGTTCCTGGAGAGCCGTGTACCGAGGGTAGTTGCGTGACCACTGAATGGTGGCCGTATCCGGTATCTAGCTGAACGAAGCCAAAGGCAGCAGCAAGTGGCATGGACCAGGCAAAGCAGGAACCATGCATGTACACACGTTCGCTAGCAGGTCCTACGCCAACGTAGTAGTACGTACTTATCCGGCCGAAGAAGAAAGCGAGGGCAAAATTGATAAATTTGACCTCAAAACGAAAGTATTTCACAAACTAAATTGTTTTTGAAAATATTTCACATCGCTGACCCTTTTGTGTAGCGTCCGACAACAAGGCGCTGCACTCTATTGTGCAACTTCTTACAGCTAGGCGTTGCACAGTGTAGTGCAACTCTTTAGAGTTAGGCGCTGCATAGTATGGCGCCTAAGTGTTAGGCGTTGCACAGTAGAGTGCAGCGCCTTGCTGTTAGGTGCTGCACATTAAAGGTCAGCCGAGTGAAATACTTTCAAGAACAGTTTAGTTTGTGAAATAGTTTCGATGTTAAATTTGTGCCTTTTGCCGAAAACGAGAGGCTGGCCGAGTGGACACCTGCGTACGGTTCACACGTTCCCGGCGTACGTGCTCATGGAAAGCTAACCTGACACTGACATGAGGAGCCTTTTGTTTGAGCAAAAGGGTTACGCAGGGCAGTAACCTGACCAAACGGACTGAAAGTGTATGTATGTATACCTATTGTTTTACACATTCCGCACGTGCGTCGCGCCCTTGAGGCCTTGGCCGTCCCGATCTTATCATGTCCGGTGCGGTCATCCACCGAGGGAAAGGAAAGAAAAATGGCGCGCGGTGCGGTGCGGCGGTCAGGTCCGTCACGCCCCTTCCCATCCCGCGTGCGGATCAAACTTGAACGTTCTTTTTCCATGCTTCGTCTCCGTACCGGCGCGGGCTGGGCTGGGCCTCTAATGCTACTAGTTGGTTCGGCCTGGCACTGCAGCAGGCACAATACAAGAGCTACAATGCTCTCTTTTTAATTTTATTTTTATTCTGTTTCCCTTAATGTTTGCTGCTGATTTAAATTCAAATGAGGGTTTACTTCCCACCTGAAAAACCTGTAAATTCCTGTCTAATCTCACTGGTGCAACCCAGCACACACAACAAATTTCACAAGTTTTGGAGATTATGTTTTTATTTCTAAACATATAATCCCAATTTGATTATGTTTTTATTTCATAAGTTCAGGGTTTTACCAATTTGATTAATAATTCTTAGAAAATTTATTATAGCTTCCAAATATTATTGGAGGATTAGATTCAAACTTTTAAGAGATTTCACAACGTAAAATCCCTCCTCCTAGATAGATCCAAGATTATCATTTTATTTATTTAGGTTCTAATTAAGATTTCCAAAATTATTTTATACTCCATCCGTTATTGTCTACAACAAGGTCACTTTGTTTTCATGCCAAACTTTAACTTGTATATTTTGGTCGTCAAAATATGGATTATATCAACAATATATCATCAAAAGGTTATTTGTAATATGCATCAAGGGCATGCTTTTTGTGGCATATAACTCACATCTTTTTGGTAGCTTAATGTACAAAGTTAGACATAAAATGTGAAGAGACCTTGTATATATAACGAGGGAGTACCATTCTTAAACCTTTGTAAAGATTGAGAGGATCCATATCATACACACACACACACACACATATATATATATATAGTAAATTCAAAACTTGCATAGTAAAAAAATTATTTCAAAATTACTACATTTTATACAGTGTTTTACTAGATTTTGTACATAGCGTTACTGGGGTGTAGAATAAGCTATTCTACACTCACGCTTAGAATAGCGTAACCCTTTTATACAGTGTTTTACTAGATTTTTGTACATAGCGTTACTGGGGTGTAGAATAAGCTATTCTACACTCACACTTAGAATAGCGTAACCCTATATATATATATATATATATATATATATATATATATATATAATATAGTGCTACTGGTTGCGGCCAAGGACACACCTAAAACACCTAGGGTTTTACCTCATCTCGCAAATTGCACTACCATCATAGTCTACTTCATACCTAACGCCGACGTGCATCGGTGTGCGGGAGAGCAGGTCTCTGAAACCGTTCATCCTTGATCCTGCTCCGGGAGAGGACGAATTAGGTTTTTGGGAAGCGCTTGGCGCGACTGCTCAAGTTCGTCATCACGGGTCGTCTTCCATCCAAGTCGGACGGTGCTACTCATCGTCGTCTTCATCGCCATCAACAACAGATCGTCGCCAACACCGTCATCAACTCTGCTGCTCCTTCAGCAACTAACGAACAATACGTTCTACGTGTTATGTTCATGTCTCTCCTCGTAGTTGCTACTTCATGAGTGATGCCGGGGTACATGTTTATTTAGCTGTTCATCTAGTTTGTAAGACTGTTACATGCTAGTCTTTGTTTTAGTCATGAATTATTTACTAGAATTAATCATGAATTTACCTAATATTCCAACAGCAAACATCTCGAGAAACAATCGCTTTCCCAGCCTTGCCAAAAGAAAAGGAAAAAAAACTTGCACACATTTGAGCATCGCTTCCCCAGCCCTGCCACGAAGTCACCAACTAGCCAAAAAAAAAAAAAGTCAACGGTCAAAACCCAAAAGAGTACACGAGGAAAGAAGAGATGAGTGACAGAGAAGCACGCGATAGCTACATCTCTGTGCCTCTCTCCGTGTCTGCTAATTAGCTCCTACTATAGCTCGCTTGGTCAGGTTTGCTTAGTAGCAAAAATTACATTAATCTTCATTTATCAATTTTAATAACCGTGGCAGTTTGATTTTTCTGTCTGCAGACGATCGAGGACGTCCGCTTGCATCCCCAGTTTCGGTCCATATACATATGGAGGTTTCTCCTACTAAGTGGTTGCAGATAAAAACAACCTTGTAAACTGTAGCTCGTCGCCGTTCTGTGAAAGGAACTCCTTACGACGGTTTCCACGCATTTCTGAGCGCTCCTCAAGTCAAATACGTTACACGTACGTACGTACGTTCCATCCACAGCCGCTCATGACCGAGGGTTGCGAGTGACCAAGACCAATGTATGGCGGTCGTATCCGGCTGAACAAATGGAGCCAAAGGCAGCAGCTAGCAAGTGGCACCGATCGATCGATCACTGGTTTACACGCGTTCGCTCGCAGGCAGGCCCTACGCCTACGCTACGTTGCGTACGCATCCGGAAGAAGAAGAAAGCGAGAGGCAGCAAACCGTGAGGTGGCGGCTATCACAGTTTCACGGCGTACACGAACCCTGACCTGACAGAGTAAAAATATTGTTCTGCTCATTGCTATCGTGCGTGCGTGCATGTTTGGTGCGGTCATCCACTCAAGGAGAGGAAAGAAATGGCGCGGCGGTCAGGTCCGTCATGCCCCAACCTGGCCTCCCCCCTCCCATGCAGTAGTACGTGCGGTGCGGATCACTTCAACGTGCTTTGACTCGCGGTGCGCCCATGCTTGATGCTTCGTCTCCGTTTCCTCCCTCGGAACAGTCAGAGCTGCATGGCATGCGAGCGGTCGTACCAGACCGCCGTTCCATTACCCGGCCGGCGGCTATAAATACGGGCGCACGCCGGTCAGCCTAAGCACAGTTCACAAAGCGCAACACAACACAACACATAGCCACAGAAGAGCAGCTAAGGCACCCGTAAAGAGGATCTTTGGTTTAGCAGCTCTCCTGTAAGTTCGTACTACCTAGCTGAAGAAGCTCGGGGGCACCGGCCGGTCGGAGGACCCCAGCATGTCGCCCGTGCACGTCCCGGAGCTCAGCAGCGGCGGGTCGGGGTCGGGGTCGCTCACCCTGAACCCCGTGCAGCGCGCGCTCAGCCGGCTGTCGTCGTCGTCGGCCCTCACGCCCAGGTCGCCCCCGCCGTCCTACGGGAGCATCGTCACCGTGCTCAGCATCGACGGCGGCGGCGTCCGCGGCATAATCCCCGGAACCATCCTCGCCTTCCTCGAAGAGAAGCTCCAGGTGAGTAGTAATTAGCTTCTGCTCCCGTTGCACCCATGGTAGTTACTGCAGGTGCACCGGTTCTAATGGCTTTCTTCTTATTTTCTGCAGGAGCTCGATGGGCCGGACGTGAGGATCGCCGACTACTTCGACGTGATCGCCGGGACAAGCACCGGGGGCCTGGTGACGGCCATGCTCACGGCGCCCGACGCCAAAGGACGCCCGCTCTTCGCCGCCAAGGACATCAACAACTTCTACCTGGAGCACTGCCCGAAGATCTTCCCCGCCGGCTACGGCGGGCCTCTGGGCTTGCTCAGGAGCATGAGGGGGCCCAAGTACGACGGCCAGTACCTCCACTCCGTCGTCAAAGAGCTGCTCGGCGAGACGCGGGTCGGCGAGGCGCTGCAGAACATAGTCATCCCCACCTTCGACATCAAGCTGCTCCAGCCAACCATCTTCTCCCGATACGACGTACGTGCATCATGATATATTTCCTACGTGAACTGCATGTTATTTCCTCTGCGTCGTGCTTACGTGAGGCATGCTTGTCCAGGCCCGCAACGACGTCTCCAAGAACGCTCTTCTGTCCGACGTCTGCATCAGCACGTCGGCGGCGCCTACTTACCTCCCCGGCCACCACTTCGAGACCAAGGACAAGGATGGCAGGCCCCGGGCCTTCAATCTCATCGACGGAGGCGTTGCCGCAAACAATCCGGTGAGTGATAGTAGACAGTTGGTGTATGTCTCCGTTCCTTAAAAAGCACTCCAAAGAATATAATGGAATTTCGATGACGTCCATGTACTGTGCTCTATTTTGATATGTTGACATTGGATACGTGTAGACAATGTTGGCCATGACGGACGTGAGCAAGCAGATCCTGCTGGGCAACCAGGACTTCTTCCCGATCAAGCCCGCCGACTACGGCAAATTCATGGTGCTCTCCCTCGGCACCGGCTCCGCCAAGGTGGAGGAGAAGTTCGACGCCGCAGCGTGCAGCAAGTGGGGGATCCTCGGATGGCTCTACAACCACGGCGCCACGCCGCTCATCGACAGCTTCAGCCAGGCCAGCGCCGACCTCGTCGACATCCAGGCGTCCGTGCTCTTCCAGGCGCTGCGCTGCGAGAAGCGCTACCTCCGCATCCAGGACGACGAGCTTAAAGGCGACACCTCATCTGTTGACGTGTCTACGCCGGAGAACCTTAACAGGCTCGTCGAGGTCGGCAAGGCGCTGCTCAAGAGGAGCGTGTGCAGGGTGAACGTCGAGACCGGCAAGACCGTGCCCGACGACAATAGAGGCACCAACGAGGAGGAGCTAATCAGTTTCGCACATATGCTCTCACAGGAGCGCAAGGCCAGGTTGCAGAAGAAGGGAGTCACCATCACACAGTAAACATGTGTAGTTCATAACATATAGCTAAACTCATATTACGTGTAAGGCAAATATAGGATAAGTCATTAGACGGTCGAACTTTGGTAGGCTAGAAATACTGAACTGCCAAAGCTCACAGACTTATGCAAGTTTTAGAGGTCCGCAAACAAGTTGTAAAGTGGGAGAATGAAATAAATGGCCAACTGTTTATTGTGGGCACGACATGAAATTTATCAGCCTATATTGGATCCCAGAAAATACACATTGGCCCCCACGTCACTCCGCGAGGCGTCATCTGAAACCCAGACGCTCCTTGCCACCGCCGAATAGATGACGGGCATCCACTATGACACTGCAAAATTTGGCATTCGTCATTTTAGGAATATAATCCTTGTGTGTGACGAACATGCATAGGTAGTCATCATCGTAGGAGTAATCCTTGTGTATAAGTACCTCACTACGTCGGTTGTACCAAAACGTACCAACAACAATAGGATGGGAGAGGGGGGAGGGGTTGGCACGACGAAACATATGTGGGAAGACAGACAAAGAGATAGGCATAATAAATATATGTGGGAGGACAGACGAAGAGACAGGCAGAAGAAAATTGACACAAGATAAAACATTTTCATCTTTTTTAGGTAGTATATACACTCTATTTCCTTATAACGAGGATGAGTAATTTTTTCATCAAAAATATAAAATCAAGTCTTGCCATGAATATGAACCAGGTCATTTCATACAAAAGAAAAATAAGAACTAACATGTATTCCTTGACCAACTCATTCTAAAAGTGATGAAACCTACAACCATGATCTTGTTTTGGATAACCAAACATGGATTCCCATTCAATTTCGGGTCCCTATAATGTATATCCTGTCTGCATTTGTGCACATGAATGTGCATGAAAGCATAAACTCTTCATAGGAGTGCAAAATCCATGATATCTCTGAAAGCAATCATCATGATTCGATAGATTGACGAGAAAATATAGCTGATCAGAGATGGGAGACAAACATATGGAGCATACAGCTATTTTAAGTATGACAGAACAGGTTCAGTGGCTCCATTCTTTTGGAGGAGGCGGCTCCTCTGACGTGCCATTGGCCCACTGACATGTGGACCCGGGCCCACACGTCAGTGGCCCAATGTCAGGGCATCGTACGTCAGGGGAGCCATCCGGCTCCCCTTTTGGATTGGTTCCTTTTAGACTTCCTCGACCTATGAACACAATTTTCACAATTCATCATTCACTCACCAGTAATGGTTATAAAACTCACTTAAATGTAGATAGTTTTTTTTAGCTGGAAATGTAGGATAGTTGCAAAAGTAAGCAAACAGAAGTTCAATAATATGGCTGCAAATGGTAATTGCTGGAAAATCCACATCGGTATATCAGGCAAACTAGCCGAACTTTACTATAAGCACCGTTTCAAAATGTATGGCCAATTTTATCAACAAGAAAAGCGATTATACAAGGATCGGTCTAAAGTATACATAGCATTGAATATGGTCCAACTAAATAGAGAATAGTATATTTTTGTATCACATGTATTTCCGAAATAAAAGACTATGTGCAACTTTTAGAGTCTGTTTTTAGAGAGGAGGCCTGCTTAAGTATCATCAGGACATGTATTTCCAAAATGGTAGCAGAAGATGTATGTCTGTGAGAGAAAACAGTTCATTAGGAAGAACTGGATCAAACATGAGGTTGAATGACCGACCTGTGGAAGATTCATTAACTCCATAACGGCCCTCTTCGGAGTTAGTTCATTATCAATTATCCGTGCTACCGCTGTCAAGACTGGCAGTTTGACGTTGTACTTCTGAGCTAATGCGATGACAGCGCCAGCAGTTGACACGCCTTCAGCAACCTGAAGTGAGAGACAATATACTAATTACCAACCATACAGGTGATATATCGAAGCAATAGAGGGGAATATTACAAACCTGATTCATTGAATCCAAGATCTCATCAAGTTTCTCGCCTGAACCAAGACGCAATCCCACGTTTCTGTTCCGTGAAAGATTGACAAAACATGTAAGCATGATATCACCCGAGCCAGATAAACCAGAAAGGGTTGTTGGCTTTGCTCCCATCTGCAAATTAATAAGTTGATCCTTTAAACCAGTAGTTTTTTGTTTTAGAGATAATACAGTCCAGAAGATAAACTACTACTGCACACCTTTGTCGCCAACCACCGAATTTCAGAACAGCCTTGAGCAACAAGGGCAGCCATACAATTATTTCCAAGATGCATACCTTCTACTATACCTGCTGCTATTGCAAGAACATTCTTAAGTGCCCCTGCAATTTCTACCCCTGTAACGTCACTGAAGCATCACAGTTCACATTTAAATATTTTTTCTAATACTTGAATGCATGGCTATAAATCAATGCACAACCCTAACAGTATATCTTATAATTCATCTTGCCGGTCTGAAATCTTAAAATAAAGCATAGTAAAATTAGATAAGATAGCTTTATCTGGAGAAGAGATTTTCAGTGTGTGCCACACCATCTGAAGCTACTACTTAAAACCCAGTGTGCTATATCAGCTGAAGCTACTGCTCAAAATCCACCACTACAATGCATAGTAGCCAATCGATGGGGGTCCAGAAATCCAGAGCGAGGCTACATGGCACTCCAACATACAGCAGCTTCATTTTCTTTTCGCGAATACGGAAGAGATCTTCATATCATTCCATTCCAAGAAGGAAAAGTTTACACTGCCGTCCTACGGCTCTACAAACATAGCAGATTCTTGAACACGTTTGCAAGGAAACACGAGAAACTGCTCTAGAAAAATACAAAAGCCTATTATCTAACTATATGAAGCAAAGCAAGTATACATCTGACGAACCACACTCAGAGAGGAGTTGCTCTAGGCTGGACAGACACAGGTTAATCAAATATACCTCTGGTCTATCTATAGCTACTGGCTTCGCTAATGTGGGTGTCTATTGTGAACCTTGATTCACAACAGGGTAACTATGGTGCTGAAGATAGCCAGATGGCATGGCTGCGAGCGAATGGGTAGACATAGGTTTAGTTGAGAGAATAACTTGGGGAAATAGATTGATCGTTCTTGCTTTCCTCAACCCCAGACACATAGTATGTTCATACGGTAGAGCTTAGGCCTCACTTACACAATTGGACTCCTTAGACCTATGCTAAATCTGATCATTAGTCCGGCCGAGCTGGAGGCCGGGCTTGCAAAAGCCCAACCTTCAAACTGCAAGCCCAAGCCCGGCCCGAACAACACTTCTCGTCGCCTCCACATGTAAGCCTGGCTTGAAGCTTGAAAGCCCCGCCCGAAATCATGAAAAACAGAAGCCTGAGCCCAGCCCAAACTGCCTTTCGGGCTAGATAATGAAGCCCAGCTCGGCCCGAATGCCAAGCCTGACCCGGCCTGGCCTGGCTTTTTCGGGCCAGGTCGTTGGGCCAGGCTGTCCATGCCCAGGTCTAGACAGGACGTAGAGCTATTACGCATCTAGGGGGCTGAACCTGGGTAAACCACTGTGTCAGCATCATCGCCGACGAGAACCCTTTGGGCACGGCCCCTCTTTACATTTGTTGCACGACTACCTTTAGATCGCAAGATCGACAGACTATTATTCGCCAACACAACCCTAGATACATGGTATGCTTATATACTACTCCCTCCATCCTGAATTAGTTGTCTTAGACACGTTTTAGTCTTAGGTACATCCGTATCTAGACAAATCAAAAACAACTAATTTGGGACGGAGGTAATAGATGCTTAGGCCTTCCTAATTAATTGGACTCCTTAGACCTATGCTAATATGAACTCTCATGTTAACACCTAGCCTACGAAATCTGCTAGCAGAACCCTTCTCTCTGTTTGGACTCCCTCCTGGTAGTCCACAACACTTTCCTACATGAATAACTAAATCAATTGTCCACAGGTGGGCAATATAGACCCTCTTATGCAAAAGAAATCTCAAATTGTTCACAGTAAGTCATATCCTATTATTTAATTATGTAATAGCAACTAGTTTTGTGGCTGAAGACAATACAGCGCAACCAAACAAACAATAATCATGATTATGACATGCATGCTTTTGTACACGTTTTGTGGCTGAAGATTATCATAGCGTCTAAAGCTGAAGTATTAGGTATAATTACCTTGATGTGCTTATCCTCAAATTTGAAGACGCTAAGAGCTGCTGAACAGCACTTGCCAGCTTTTTGTCTTTGGATGCCACCACCATAGCTGCAATATTAAGTTGGATAATTATGTAGTTCTATTTACACAACAGATTCCAAAAAGTGCTTGGAAAGCCAAAAATTCTTCAACATAAGCAACATGAACCAGACAACTTTGTGTCACAGGAAAGCACAAGAGAATATGACATAAAACTTAACAATATGAGAAATGATGTTAACTAACCTGTTGGTAGTTTCTCCATCAGTTCCACGGCAAAAGAAGGTCCTGACAGAACAATAAATGGCTGGCGAGGATTTCCCAATGCAAGAGGAATGATTTGAGACATTGTCCGAAGGGTGTTAAGTTCTAGCCCTTTGCTAAGCGATATGAATGGCAACTTTGGATCAACATAAGTTGAAATACTGCCAAGAAAGGATGAACTGAACTGCCAGGGAAAATATCAGACTCCAAAAAAGAAGAAACCCTCCTGGAAGCCACAGTGCTTCATAAAGAAGTGTTAATACCTGAACAGGGACAGCGTGGAAGCAGAAATCAGCTCCTGCTAACGCCTCGCTAGCACTAGTTGTTGCAACAATGTTTTCTGGCAAGCTGTATTCTGACAAGTATTTGCTGCAGTGGAATCAATCAATCAATCATCGACGAAAACATGACTATGTGCATCAATCAATCGAATCGTTTGCAATATTTTTCTTACGAAACTAGTCACATGGTCTTTTCATGGAGAAGCATCTGAATGCTCGCATGAAATACATTGTACCTCATCATATCAATCATGGACGAAAACATGACTAAAATGGACCCTCTTCGTGTTAGGCAGATACTGCAGTA